TTTTAAGTGGGAGAACTTGCACAATTGGTGACTGACTAAATACTTATTTTCCCCACTGTACACACACACACACACACACACACACACACACACACACACACCTTCGTACTAGGCTACATGTCTGCTATGTCTTGTGTGACATGATTTGTTTGTGTACAAACTAATACACTATCAGATTTTTATATATTTATACTTCTCATTCAACCACAGTTAAATTCACTCTAGGAGACATAAGTTGTATGGATAGTTTTTATTTTTTACAATAACAAGCTGGAATGAAATAAAAGTAAGGACAGATCGTGGGGTTCTGTACGGATCGTGGGGTTCTGTACGGATCGTGGGGTTCTGTACGGATCGTGGGGTTCTGTACGGATCGTGGGGTTCTGTACAGATCGTGGGGTTCTGTACATAAGGCCACAAAAACATCGTGTTTAATGATAACTGAGCTGCAGCTGAACTACCTGCGTCAGTAACATCAGGGGGCGTGGCTAGAAAACTCTAGAACCTGCGTTTACAGAATTATATCCTACATCCACGGTGTTTACACAGTGTTGTTGTGTTGTACTACATGTGTCAGGTTATATGTTGTGTTGTACTACATGTGTCAGGTTATATTTGTACTTTAAACTCCTCATAAAGTGTTTACTAAAACTAAAGCCCCCCTCACTCCACGACCCCTCGTCTTTACCGTCATCTCCGTCCAGAAGGTTCGGCGGAGGCATCTCCAGGATTTTCTTCAGAACCACCGGGAAGGCGGTGGGAGGCAGGCCGGGTGTGTCCAGCTTGATGTGCACCGCTTCTGCCGACATGTTTGTTTCTTGTTGTTGTTGACGTAAAGCAGCTCGTTGGTCTGTAAACAAACACAGGAACACAACAAACCCGGAGCGTTGTGAAGGTTCTGCTGTTCGTGGTCCAATAAAAGCTTCGGAACTCAACGCTGCATGTTTTCGTCTTGAACCGCTTCGTTGGTGGGAGACACGTGAACGAATGATCACATAAGTGAATCACGTGACAGGTTCTAACCAGTCCGCGCTGCTTCTCTGCGCGTGACGTTTCACAGTTACACAAGTCGAGATGTGCGGAGTTCACGGACGATCCGAACCTTTGGAACGGATCTGGACCGAGTGGCAGACAGAAGTCTACAGAACCGTTCTGTTGTTGTTTTATTTGACCCTTCTCTGCTCCTTCACTAAGATGGAGGAGGACACAGACAAACAAAAGATTGTTGTATTTACACTTTTACAGTGGTGGACAGTCACAGCACTAATCTGAAATGTTCCGCTAGCATTGAAACACGTGACAGGGGCGGTTCTAGGGGCGGGGCCACAGGGGCATTGGCCCCTGCTGAAATTTGATTGGCCCTCTATGATGGTGGCTGCAGTTCCATGTCCAAACACTGGAGGCAAAAAGTCCAGCATGAATAAGGCTGGTTTTAACGAGTTTTTTATTATTACTGAAAACATTTACAAACAAAACATGGCAAAAAACGTTAGATTAAGACATCAGGCATTACAGGTTGAGTTATAAGTAACATAAAACACAGTATCAACCATAAGAAGGAATGATTTATTTTTAACTGCTGACTCTGGTGATTCTACTGTTTTAATCCTTCTTGATCTTACTGCTGCATTTGATCCAGTAGATCATGAC